TCCCTCTTGTCCCCCCTGAGCCAGGCCAGGGCCGGGCCAGGGGGTAGCCGGGGCCGTGCCCTCTCCAGCAGCCGGGCTGGCAGCCGGCGGGCACCGCGGTCGGGCTGGCACCCTGCCCGGCCGGAGGATTAGCCGTGCCATGGATACGGGCTCCGCAGGGAACGCTGTGCTGCAGGCCTGCGGCTCTCCGCTGGCACGGCACGGCACGGCACGGCACGGCACGGTGGCATGACACGATCCGGCACGGCACAGCCTGGCATCAGCCGATGTGGCACCGCCCGTCGTGGCTTTGCCTGTCCCACCCCAGCCGCTGCCCCCCGGCCGTGCCCGTCCCGGTGGGCTCCCGCAGCCTCCCCCCGCCCGGGAGGCAGAGAGTTAACGCGGGACCCGCCGCGCTATAAATTTTGCATCGTGCGGGGCTGGGGGGAGCTGGGCGGGAGCCAGGGGCGTCTCTAGGTAACAATAAACACCCGGGCAGGAGCAGCTGGTGCCCCGACCGCCTCTGCATCACAATGCCGGAATCACGCTAATCAAGCGCCCGCACCGCGCCCGCACCGTGCCCGCACCGCCCGGGCACTGCCAGGCCCCGGGATGGCCGGGCACGGGCACGGGATGGCCCTGGTGAGGGCCTGGCTGTGCTGGGGCTCCGACCATGGTGAGGGTTTGAGTGGTGAGGATGTGGCTGTGGGGAGGGTCTGGCCATGGTGAGGGGCTGTCACAGCGAGGGTCTGGCTGTGGTGATGGCCCAGTCATGGTGAGGGCTCTGGTGTGGTGAAGATGTGGCCATGATGAAGGTCTGGCCATGGTCAGGGTACAGCCATGCTGAGGGTTCTGGTGTGGCAAAGATCTGGCCATGGTGGGGGTCTGGCCATGGTGAGGGTCTGGCCATGGTGAGGGTCTGGTCACAGTGAGGGCCTGGCCACGGTCAGGTTATGGTCACAGTGAGGGTCTGGCTGTGGTGGGGGTCCAGCCAAGCTGAGGGCTCTGGTGTGGCAAAGATCCAGCCATGGTCAGGGTCTGGTCACAGTGAGGGTCTGGTCACAGTGAGGGCCTGGCCATGGCGAGGGCCACCCCAGGGCTCACGTGGCACCCCTGCTCACCAGGGAGAAGGGCCGGTGGCACAGGCTCCGTGGCACAGGCTCCATGGCACAGGCTCTGTGGCACAGGCTCCGTGGCACAGGCCCCGCCTGCTCCCGGCAGAGCATCCAGGAATGCCACACAAGATGGGTCCAACCCCTCCAGCCACGGCCACTGTCACCGGTGCCACAGGGCACAGGGCTGAGCTCTGGTGATGCCACACGTCGCTGGCAAATGCCAAGGCCACCATGTGCCACCATCACCCTGACACCACGGTGGCACTGTGGCTGGTTGTCCCAGCTCTGTGGAGCCAGCCCAGGGCCACGACACAGCCGGGCTGGGACCCCCAGCATCTTCCTGTCCCCCCTCACGGGGCCGGTGGCTTCAAGGCCTGGAGTTTGGCCACCAATTTCCACCTCCCAGGAGCCAAGAGCTGGGAAGTGTGGGGGCTGTGCCCTCCCTGCGATGTGCCCCCCGTTTCTCCAGGCAGGCTGGGGGCGCATGGGGGCGTGGGGACCATGGTGGCCAAGGGGGTTTTGTGGAAGCGGTGGCCGAGGAGGTGTGGTGGCCACGGCATCTGAGGGGGTGTGGTGACAACAGCAGTGTCCGAGGGGTTTGGTGGCCACGGTAGCCAAGGGGGTGTGGTGGCCCTGGTGGCCCTGGTGGCCGAGGGGTTGTGGTGGCAGCAGTGGCCTCGCCGTCCCCTCTGGCCGCCATCTGCATTCCAGCGCAGGAGGCAGCTGTGCCACCCCCCAGTGCCACTAAATATTAATGCTGCCCTACATTGCGGCACCTGCCACGGGCCACCACCGCCCGGCCAGACCCCCCCGGGCTGTGCCCGAAGGTGGGGGAGACCCCCAGACCCAGCTGTGTCCCCTCCCCAGAGCCAGGAGGGAGGGACAAAACAACGGTGGCACAGGGAGCACCGGTGGCAGGTGGGGCAGAAGGGGTGGGAGCCCCCCAGATGCCCCCTGTGACCCAGGGATGTCCCGTTTGAGCAGATTTGGGGCAGGATTTGCTGGCACAAGCGGCCACCTCTGCTGCCACCCTCACCAGGCGTGGCACGAGTGCCAGGCGGCAGCGGGGGGCGGCCCCGGCGCCCGCTTTGAGCCCCAGCCAAAAGTCCAGAGCCGAAAAGTAGGGGGTGATTGATGGCAGCGATTGGCACGTAAGGGCACCCGGCGGCCCAATCCTCCCGCGGCCCCAATTCCTCCCCTGCCCCTATTCAGAGATCATGTTGTCTCATGTTGGTCCCAGAGGCGCCATTAATTAAAAATACATCCAATTAAATGGCAGGTGAAAGCGTGCGGGCACAGCCCCCCCGTGCCTCGGCTCAGCTGTGCCGGTGGCAGCGGGGAGGGCGAGGTGCCCGCCCGGGCTGCGGTGCCAGGCCCTGTCCCCCTGCCACCGCGGCCACGCCAGGGCCTTGTCCCCATCCAGGCGCCCGCTGCGGTCACTGGGGTGTCAGGGTGGTGTCACCCCGCCTGTCCCACTGCCACAGGCCCGGCGTGGCAGCGGGGACACGAGGGGAACGTCCCCAAAATCGAGGCGTGCTCAGCCCTGGCTGGGCAGAGCGGTGGCACTGCCACACACGGAGCGGGCGATGTCAGCCCGGCTGCAGCGTCCCTGGGAGGTGGCACCGGGGGGCACCGGGGGGCACCGGGGGGCACCGGGGGCTGGGGACCCCCCCGGGCCGCGGTGGCTCCAGGTTCCCGTTAATTGGAGCTGCTAATGGCGGGTGCTTCCCGCTCCGGGTGCTGGCAGGAGGCACCAGCTGTGCCACCGCCCGTGCTGCCGCTTTAATCAAGCTGCCAGCGCGAGGGGACGGGGCCAGGTGGCCCCATGGCACGGGGACAGTGCCACCACCCCCTCCCCGCCCAAGGAATCCGCGCCCCATCCGTGCCCACCGAACCCCACCGCCCAAAACCCAGCCGTGCCCTCAAAATGCAGCGTCTCGATGCCAAGGGATGGAAAATGCAGAGTGCCATGGGATGGATAATTCTGGGGGGGCTCGCACCCCCGTCCTTCCCCCCAAAACTCAACCCCAGCACCTCGTCCGTCCCCCATCCGCGGCCTCCAACACCCCCAATGGGGTTTTTTTGGGGTGGTTTTATCCTTCTCAGTCCTTTTCTTCTTTCCCCTTTCCAAATGCCAGGGAAAGGTGTGAACGGATTTTTGGAAGGAAACGTCTAAATTGGATGAAAAACCTTTAATGCCGACAGCCGGAGCAGCTGGAAGGACAAATATAGCCGGAGAGGAGGAGGAGGAGGAGGAGGAGGAGGAGGAGGAGGACGGGGACGCGGTGGGAGGTGGTGGCCGTGCCGAGAGCGACACCTGGTGACTGTCACCCCCCCCCGGACACGCGTGAACACGCGTGTGCCACCGCAGGTGTGCGCACAGCCTGTCACACGCGTGTGCGTCCGCCCGGGGAAGTGCGAGACCTGCTCCAGGCGGAGCTGCCGCCAGGATCCCGTGGGGTGCGAGTGTCCCGCGGTGATCTGCTCCACGGGAAGGCCCTCTCCTCCTCCTCCTCCTCCTCCTCCTCCTCTTCCTCCTCTTCCTCAGCATCCCATCCCCATCCCCGGAGCACCGGGATGCTGCGGAGCCGGACGGTGCCACCAGCGCACCCCCAGCGCCGTGAGGGCATCCCGGGGGTGAGGAGGAAGGAGAGCCGTGCCAGACCCCACATTTGGAGCCGGGAAGGGTGGGATGGAGCAGGCAGGAATGTCGGGATGGAGCAGCAGCGGCTCCAAGGAGAATAATCCAAGCGGGAAGAGCCGAACGGCGGAGATTTCCAGCGCCGGCTCCGGGCAGCCCCCGGCCATTTGGCACGGCAGCTGCTGCCGAGGAGGTTCAATGCCAAAAGAAATGAAACGGGCTAAAACGGCCTGGTCACCTTCGGCTGGGGATGCCGCAGGAGCCGGGGCCGCGTGGGGCTTTGTCTGGCAGGGAAGGTGGGATGGAGGGAGCTCGGGATGGTATCGCATCCCCGGGTGAGGCCCCGGAGCCGCGGGCAGGGAGCAGCAGGGCTGGGGTAGGGATCCAGCCGAGGGCACGGTGCCCAGCTGCCCCTCCATGCAGCAGGGGAGGCCGGGGGGGCGCTGGGGGCTCGCCCCTGGCTGTGCCAGGCCCCGCCATCTGCACGGGGATGTTCTTGTAAATCGTGGCAGCGCGGGGATCCCAACCGGGCCGAAGGACAGCGACCGAGCCGGGGCTGGCAGTGCCATTTCGGGGTCGGGAGTGCCCCGGGCTCGGCGGGGATTGAGGCACGGGCACGGTCTGGGGGAGCCGCAGCCCCCCCAGCTCGCCCTCAGCTCAGGGAGGGTCTGTCCCAGCCTCAACCCAGCACGATGGACGGGATTTGGGGGGGTTCCCAGCACCCCAAATTCCTGCCCGGCACACGAGGGCTGGGCCAAACCTTCCTGAGTCCTCCGGGAGCCACGCTGGGGGTGGGAGCAGCACGGAGGGGATGGAGGGAGGGGTGACACGGGCACAGCTCCTTCCCCTGCCCTCCCGGCTGAGGCTGCGGCACAATCCATCCCCTCCAGGCACCCCGGGGTGCTCTCCAGCACCCAGAGGACTGCCAGGAGCTGGGAGAGGCTTTGGGGCCAAATCTCCACCTCAATCCTTCCCCTTTTGCCATTCCTGCAGCACCATCCCCTCTCCCATTGTCACCTTAACCAAACCATCCCCTGCTCCAGCTCGGGCATCTCCCACCAGCAGCCCTTTGAGCAGGGGAAACCCTGCTAATGATGGCTTGGAGCTTAATTAGAGAGTGGAATTTGGGGGCTTGCAGAGGCTGGCAATGCCAAATCCCACCCCTCTCACCAGGAGGGAATAAAAGGCTTTCCAAGGAAAACACAAGTTACCGTGTGTGTGATTCCAAAGGCTACGGGAAGCAACGGAGCAAAAGGCAATCAAGATACAGTAACAGGAAATATTTAATTTTCCGATCTCCACTTCTCCATTTTTATAAACTGAAAAGAAAAAAATTTTAATATATTACAAAATATCTGTACAGAGACAAAGGTACAACCGAAAAAAGGCGCGCTCGGTCTCCAGAGGAAACTCGGGAGAGGTACAGTGAAAGTCTGACCAGAGGCTTCTCTGCTGGGAATTGCTACAGTGGGAAAATTTGGGATTGAACCCAGAGCCAGGATGGGGGGAAGGAGGGGGGAGCTGCCCTCAACCCTTGTAACCAGCTTAAATCCTTCCCAACGCACAAATCCCACCCAACACCGCGAATCCTTTTGTCTTCCTTGTGCAGAGCGTCGGAAAAAAGCTAAAATTAATAAAAAAAAATAAAAGGATGAGGGGGGAATAAAAGAAAAAGAGGTGATGGAAGGCAGGAGTGGCCCCACAGCCCCCCAGGACCTGGTTCTTTCTCCCCAGACCCCGCAGGGTCCCGCGGCTCCGGCAGGGATGGAAAGGCCGTGCTGGGACCAGTTAGGAAAAGCTACTGGGAGTGGAATGAGAGCAGGGGGCTGAGAGGAGGGAATGGCAGAATCACCTCCCACAGGAGCCCCGAGGGGCCCTGGGGACAGGCCTGGAATGTCCAGCGGGGCTGGGACAGGGGACACGAGCTGGGCCAGAGATCTGGGGAGACCCAGCTGGGAAAGGCCACCCTGAAATGGGACTGCTGACCCCCAGACTGGGACTGCTGACCCCTAAACTGGGATTTCCAACCCCAAACTGGGACTGCCGACCCCCAAACTGGGACTGCTGACCCCCAAACTGGGACTGCCGACCCCCAGACTGGGATTTATTGACCCCCGAACTGGGATTTACTGACCCCTGCACTGGGACTGCCGACCCCAAACTGGGACTGCCGACCCCAAACCGGGACTGCTGACCCCTAAACTGGGATTTATTGACCTCTAAACTGGGATTTATTGACCCCTGAACTGGGACTGTCCACCCCCAAACTGGGATTTATCGACCCCCAAACTGGGATTTATCGCCCCCTAACCACCCCAAACTGGGGCCCCAAGGCCGGGACAGGCATGAGGAGGTGCAGGACCATTCCCAGCTCATTCCCAGCAGATTTCCTGGGAATGTGCCAGTTTGGAGAGACAATAAATAGGCATCGGTTTCCTAAGAGGATTTAGCAAAGGAATGAGACTTTTCCTTCCAAAAAGGATGGGGTTGGGAAGAAAAGGAACAGCAGCAGCTCCATGGCAGCCTGGAGCTGGTGCCAGGAGAAAATAGAGAAATTAACCCCCCCTAAAGCCCCTCGGTGGGTTCAGTGCACTCTGTGTCTCACAGAACTTCTCTTTTTTTCTCTCTGCACATCAGGTATAAACTAAGTTTAAAAAAAAAATCATCAAACCAACAAAAAAAAAAATTAAAATCCCAAATCCTACAAATTTCCAGTGGGAATTCTGCAAACAGCATCGCTCCTCAGTGCTGGGAGATGCCGGTCCTTGCATATCACCAGCAAATAAAAATAAAAAATATATCTATATATTTAATTTCTCTCCCTTCCTTCCTCCCACGGCAAAGCTGGGTAAGGCAGGATCTCCCCAGGTGGAGAAGCATCACCTATTCAGGTGCATTTATTTAAATTTATCTCTCTGTATAAAAAAGAAATTAAATCCTGTTAGTAGCAAGAAGGTCTCTCAGCCCACCCCAAAATTCCCTTCCCCTTTAACACTCGAGAACTGTCGGCTCTAAAATTAAATGTTTTCCATAGGAAAGGCCTACTCGGGGGAAAAATAAAAAAAAAGCTGATAAATAGGTACCTTTGTTTTATTCATCTCTTTTTAAGTCTCATTGAAATGAACAGCGCAAGGGTCTGTGGGAGGAGAAAACCCATCGTAAATCCTTCCTTGACAACAACAAAAATAGAAATATGCTGATGGAAATGACACAGGAACACCTGGAAAAGCTCAGAGGGCTGAGATGGCACCGACCTCGGCAGGGTGGGCAGCACCGGCCCAGGATTCCGGGGACAAATCACTCCCATCTGCTGGCAAACCCCGCCAGATGTTGGGATTTTCATTTCCCTTTTTTTTTTTTTTTTAATTCTTGAAGGGTTCTGAAAGTTACAAACAACAGAAATCCCTGGTTTTCAGGGAGGTGTTCTCCTCGGCTCTTAAAAAAAAATTTAAAAAGACAAAAAAAACGACAACAACAACAAAAAAGACTATTCCACTGCCAAGTTACAGCAGGAGGGATCCAACACCCAGAGACCCTTCCCAAAAATCAATGTACTAAGGCTGCTGTCACAGGGGACAGGATTGGCCCTGGAGCAGAGGGAAATCCAGATGTTTTATGGAAAGAAAGCAACATCAAATAAACTGAACACAACCAGTGTCACATCCCAGGTCCCCACCGCTGGGATAACCCATCCAGGTGCTTCTGCATCCATAAATTCCCCTTTTCATTTGTTCTTTCATTTTTTTTTCTTAAGGAAATGGGGAAAGCAAACAAACAAAACGACAACAACGAAAATAAAACCGCTTTGGGAAGCAGCCTCCCCCCAGGCCTCCCTGACCCATCAGCAAACTCCAGCGCCCAGCTTGGGGAAACAACATTTTAAAAATTGCTTCTTCCTCCCATTCCTACTTTTCCATCAATCCCCTCCTCTCCTGGCTCAGTTTGCTGCGGGGTTGGGATTATTTTTGTCACTAACCAAGCAGGGGAGGCCAGCGGGGACCCTCTGGCAGCTCCCGAGCGAGGGAGGGAGGGATGCCCAGGCAGCTCTGCAGCAGCTGAAATGCGGACGAGACCTTGCTCTGGCCAAAACAAAACAAAAAAAAAATTAAAAAAATTCAAATTAAAAAAAAAAAAGAATATCAAGTCCTGTGGCTAAAGGAGGAGAGGCAAGGGGGGGGATCCCAGGAATCTCAGTAGGGAACCCCCCGGCCCCGGCCACCCCGTGGAGGCACTCGGCCAGGCCCTCGGAATGTCTTCCCGTAGGAAGCCGGCGCCTGGGTTGGGGCACCCCAGCTGGGACCCGTTCCTGCCCCACCGGGAGCGGCTGTTCCCGGCCCCAGCTCGCCGTAATTCTGCATTTTGGCCTCTGGATGCAGCAGCGCGTTGCTGTTGCTCCCCTCGGATTTGCCGAAGGATTGCAGCGCGTGGATGCTGACGGGGACTCTGGCGAAGCGCAGGTCCTGGTCCCCCGGGAACTGCAGCGAGCCCGTGCCCTGGTAGCTGCTGCTCTCCCCGAGGTGGCTCACGGAGCCCAAGAAGGTCCTGCTCTTCCCCAGGGCTTGGGCGGAAGGTTCTAGAAGGGTCTGGCCCGGGTTGAGCTCCTCGGAGCCGTCGGCGCTGTAAGTCCTGGCGTAGTCGGGGCCCGGCGGCTCCGGCTCGGGCTGGGCAAGGAGCTGCAGCAGCGCAGCCGTCACGGCCGGGTTCAGCTCCTGCGCTGCTCCGCAGAGATCCGCTTCGGCCACGGCAGCAGGAGCAGGCGGCGGTCCGGGGGGCTCGGGGGGTCTCTTCTCTGGTGGGACAATGCCAGGAGGACACGCTGTGGAAGGGTGACTTCTTTTAAAGAGCGTTTCAAACAGACACAAAGACATTTTCTAAGCAAATCAAAACCCTGCCGAGGCCGCCCGCGCTGGGATGCTCTGGGAAGAGGCGGAGGGAAGAGTTTGAACGCTGGCTGGGAGATCAACGTTCATTAACAACGTTCATTAACAATGTTCATTAACGCTTTCGGCCCGGCCCTTGCGCACCCAACTCGCCGGCAACAGCTGTCCTAAACACCTGGGCACCACCCGTGCAGGGAATTCCCATTCTGGGACCAAAGGCTAGCTCCGAGCAGGAGGCAGATGTGGAGCCACAGTGCCCGAGGGCCGTGGCAGTGCCCAAGGGCCGTGGCAGTGCCCGACTCTGGCACCAGGAGCGTGGCCGGGATGCGTTTGGCCAACACAAACCCCAGCCCAGCACACGGCTGTCAGCTCCCAGTGCCCCCTCAGCACCCCGAGGGCAGCAGGACCTGCACCCCCATCCACCCACCCCAACCCTGCCAACAAGAATCCAAACCAAGCTCGCCCCCCAAAACTTTGCAGACTGCCCTGAGCACGAGAAAAGCCTTCTGCTTCCTCCCCCCTGCCCCTTCACCCCCGAGTTCCTCCCAGATCGGGGTTTGTTTCCCTCCTGGAAGAACAAAGCTCTGTTGCCCCCAGCCCCCCCTGAGGCTGAGGAAGCACAAAGGGCTCGGCTGGGAGGTGGGAGAGGGAGCAGAGCGCTGACCCTCCCCTGAGCAGTGCCACCCCTGCGGGTGACAGTGACATCCCCGCAGGGAGCTGCTCCCAGCACCAGCTCCACTCCCCAAACCAGCCCTGCCTTCACCTGAGCTGCCTCCTCTCCCTCGCCCACGGGGGAAGGAATTTCTGGCGATGGCAGAGCCCACGGACACCTTGGTTGGAATCAGATCCTCAAATCATTGGCAAAACTGGTTATTAAAAAGGTCAAACTTTATTGTGAAAACCAGTAGTCTTCCAGGACCACCCCTCCACCCGTATCCATCAGTCCACTTTGAAAACTAGATTGTATTGAAATCCAGAAAAATAAAACAACAACGAAAAAAAAATAAAGAAAAAAAAAATAAACCAATCTTCGGGTAAAATTTGTAAAGCCAAGCTGATCTTGGGGACAGCAAATCATTCCAAAGAATTATCAACAGAGAACAACGGCATCGAATTCCATCTGCTCTACAGTAACCTAGTTATCTTCCAGGACTAGGGCAACAACAACAAAAAAAAAAAAATAAAAAGGAGGAGAAGAAAAAAAAAAAAAAAAAAAAAGCACGATCACAACTGGCTCGTGGTGGGCGGGTGTTGAAGGCACGAGAACACAGCACGTTCAGCTACATTGCAGGAGGTGGGATCGGGCCAAAACAGGCTCCCCGGAGAGTCTGAGACAAACTCAGGAGGCGCTTCTACAATTTGGTGAGGTCGTCACAGGCTGTTGCTAATAAATTCAAAAAATCAAAAGAAACAAAAAAAAAAAAAAAAAAAGACATGGAGACATTTACACTCACCTTTGGAAAGGAAATCCGAGAGCTCACTGACACAAGCAGGGTGTTTTAAACTATAAGAAGCAGCAGTTTGGTTCAGCTTTAGGAGCTGATGAGTGTCAAGGATCAAAAATCAGCTCCAGGTAGAACCAGGCACTTGTGGATGCTCAGGTTTTACCTACACAGCTGCCACTATCCCTCCCTTCAGCACTCACCACTGTTTCAGCTCTTTAAAATCATCTCTGCAGGTTCATTTACTTATTTACTTAAGAGGGCAGGGAGGGGATGGTGAAAAAAATCTGGGAAAAAATGCAGAGGTGCAGCAGCATCCTGCGCAAAAAAACTCCCTGGATGTGCAAATTGATTGCTGGGGCGCCGGGTTTGAGGAAGAACTGACCCTCCAAACTTCCCTTGTATTTTTGGGCAAACCCAATTCATCTCCACAGTGAAGCACTCATGGATTTTTAGGGTAATATTTGCCTGTTTTGGGCTGTTTGCAGCTGTTCAACCTCCTGAGCAGTCCAGCACTTACCACAGGGAGGGGATGATCGGGGTGTTTCCTCCTGATGTCCAACCACATCCTACCCCCTTCCCTCCTCCCACCCGCTCCCTGTTTCCCAACGCTCCAAGGAACCACTCCTGGCTGCAGGGAAGGAGACGCCCTCCCTGCTCGCACACAAAAGGGGGTTTATTTCATTTACCTGTGCTCTCCTCGGGATGCCTCGCCGGGCTTTTCCTGGGCCCCCTCTGCTCGCCGCTCTTCTCCCCGTTGCTCTCCTCCAGGGTTATCCCAGGCTCCTGGCTCTTCATCAGCTGGCTCAGCAGAACGGCCAGCACGTTCTGCATGTCTCCCTGAGCGCCGGCTGCCTCCGGGGTCTGCTGCTCCTCGGGCACCTCCGCAGGCGGCTCCTCTATGGCTTCCTCCGCCGCCGCCGCGGGCTCGTGGTGCTGCGCCGTGGCCTCGGTCAGGGCCGTGATGGACTGGTTGAGAGCCTCCAGCTGCTGCTGCATCTCGGGGTTGGAGTGGACGTTGAGCAGCTGGGCCATCTGCGGCACGCTCAGGTCGGTCTGGCTCTGCAGCAGGTTCAGCAGCACGGCCAGCTCGCTCTGGTTCAGCTGCTGCGTGATGTCGCCCAGGCCTGCGGGACACGGCGGGAGCGCCGCAGGGAGGTCAGGGCTGGGAGCGTGGTGGTGTACGGGGTAAGGAACAGAACTTCCCATAGCCCTGCATCCCCTGTGGGGCCTTGATCCACACCCCAGAGCGATGAACACACCTTCCTCACATCCCCACATCCCACAGCCCTGATCCACACCCCACAGCAACGAACACACCTTCCCCACATCCCAGAGCAATGAACAGACCTTCCCTACATCCCAGAGCTGTCCTCCACATCCCGGAGCCATGAACAGCCCTACAGCCCTTCCCCATACCCCACAGCAATGAACAGACCTTCCTCACATCCCCACATCCCACAGCCCTGATCCACACCCCACAGCCAGGAACAGCCCTTCCTCACACCCCACAGCAATGAACACACCTTCCCTACATCCTAGAGCCAGGAACAAACCTTTCTCACACCCCACAGCAATGAACACACCTTCCCTACATCCTAGAGCCAGGAACACACCTTCCCCCCACCCCACAGCAATGAACACACCTTCCCCACACCCCTGATCCACACCCCACAGCAATGAACACACCTTCCCCCCACATCCCGCAGCAATGAACACACCTTCCCCACATCCCAGAGCAATGAACAGACCTTCCCCACCCCAGAGCCATGAACAGACCTTCCCTACATCCCAGAGCCAGGAACAGCCCTTCCTCATACCCCACAGCCAGGAACAAACCTTCCCCACATCCCAGAGCCAGGAACAGACCTTTCTCACACCTCACAGCCATGACCCACATCCCCCAGCAGTGAGCACGTTTTCTGCATGTCCCACAGCACTGAGCACCCCTTTTCCACATCCCACAGCACTGAACACTCCTTTTTCACGTTCCACAGCAAGGAACTTCCCTTCTCCACATCCCACAGCACTGTCTTCACATCCTGCAGCACTCAATGCCCCTTTTCTACATCCCACAGCCAGAACTCTCCTTCTCCACATCCCACAGCCAAAATGCACATCCCACAGCACTGAAGACCCCTTCCCCACATGCCACAGCCCTTGGCCACCCTTGTGTCTGTGTCCCCAGGCTGGGGGAAGGCAGGGATGCTCCGTGAGGAGGATTTCGGGATGCAGCACGGCAGCAGCACCCCGTGGCACTGCACACACACTGCACCCACAGAGCTGCTGCTGCACTGCCCCCACACCTCTCCAGAACCACAGCACACACTCAGCTCAGCCAAGACAAACTGCCCCATTCCCGGGTTTGGGAAGTGGGGGCACCCCAAGGATACCAGGCTATGGGGTGGGCGTGAGGGGGCAATGGATGAGGATGGCAATGGAAGCTCTGAACCCCCCGCAGGGAAATCACAGCTTGGCCCCTCCTGAGGACCCCACAGATCCAAATCCTCCCTGCTGCAGCGGGAAGGTTTCCCAGGATGGAGCTGAGCTGCTCTTTGGGATGGAGGAAGGGCGTGTTCCCTGACACAGCACAAGGAATTAGGTCAGGCAGAAGGCAATTCCTTCCTGGGAGCTGGCCTGGGATCACAGGACTCTGTCCTGACCTGCAAGGATCCAGGTTATCCTAAATACATCCTGGGAGTGGCATCCCCTCCCTTCACAGCCCAATGACAAGTGACAAGGGTGTCCCTTCACGGTGACAGTGACGCTGGAACTTTTTGGGAATAAGGGTGGCAAGGGTTTGGTTTCAGCTGCTTAAAATGGAGCTTCTCTTGCTGATAATGCAATGGAGAACAGGACATTCTTTTCCCAGCTGTTTGTTAATCCAAGCACCACCTTTTGTCCATCTGCCATGTTTCACTGAACACATGGATTGTGCATTCCTTGGAGCAAGAACTGTCTTCCTCGTTACTTGTCAGCACAGCATTGGACACAAAGGAAGCCTTAGCCCATATCTGGGTTTTTGTAAGGCTTCTACAGAACAATCAGGGCAGCTTTGTGTCAATCCACATTCCTGCCCTCCAACTATTTTCTGGGGGTTGGTCACTGCTTGGAACAGTGCACAAGTCCAGGTCCTGCCAGTCTGGATGACCTTCTCTGCAGCAAAGTGCAATAATGTTGATTTTTATTCACCAGCCTGACACTTCCCACACCTAATCTTCATATGATTTATCAACAAGATCAAACTTCAGCTCATTTGCACACCCTGGACGTGGCTCCACCTTCCAGCCTATGATTCCCATGATTTGTTTCTCCACTGGCTGAAGTGACTCAATGACACCTTTCATCATTCAGCCTCTTTTAGAACTAATAACACAGCTCAGAACAAATTCACAGTCAGCTCATCAGTGACTTCTGAAGACCAGACAGAACCTTCTGCGTCTTCACAGCAGAGAGAGGAGGAAAAAAAAGAAAAAAAGAATAAAAGAAACGAGGACAGGAAGAGCCTGGAATGCCCTTTCTGCAGAATTAGAGGTGAAAGAACCAAACTGGCTTAAAAACAAACCCAAACCTCCCACACCCATGGAGGGAACACACCGGGAGCTTTCTCCAGACCCAGGTGGGCACTGACCTACTGCATCTGCAGCACCAGGCTCTGCTTTGAGCTGGGCAGGCTGGGGGGGCACAGGACTGCTGTTGTTTTTCACAGTGTCTGTGCTTGTAACAGAGGTAGTTTCTTTCCGAGAAACTTTTGATACCGGAGGCTCCTCCACGGCCACCCCGCTCTGCCGCTGCCGCCGGCGCTTCTTGCTCCACAGCTCGTGGCAATCCTGCCAGTGGGGGAGGCTGCAAGAGAGTGAGAAACGTGGCAGGGAAACCAAGGCAATCATCAAAACCCACAGCAAGCCCTTGGTGTTGCCCAGAGAAGCTGTGGCTGCCCCTGAATCCCGGGAAGTGGCCAAAGCCAGTTTGGATGGGGTTTGGAGCCACCCTGGGATGGTGGGAGGTGTTCCTGCCCATGGCACTGGATGGGATTTAAGGTCCCTCCCCATCCAAACCATTGTAGGATGCAACTCTGTAATGTTGTAAAGGTGGAGAAATGGATTCAGGAAGGGATATTGGGAAGAAATTCCTCCCTAAAAGGCTGGAATGGATTTCCCAGAGAAGCTGGGAAGTGGCCAAAACCAGCTTGGATGGGGTTTGGAGCCACCCTGGGATGGTGGGAGGTGTTCCTGCCCATGGCACTGGATGAGATTTATGTGCCTTCCCATCCAAACCATTGTATGATGCAACTCTGTAATGCTAATCCACTTTTACAGGTGGAGAAATGGATTCAGGAAGGGATATTGGGAAGAAATTCCTCCCTAAAAGGCTGGAATGGATTTCACAGAGAAGCTGAGAAGTGTCCAAGGCCAGGCTGGACCAGCCTGGGGTAGTGAAAGATGTCCCTGCCCATGGCAGGGGTGGTACTGGATGAGTTTTAAGGTCCCTTCCAACCAAACCATCCTGGGATTCCACGATCCCTGACTGCAGCCAGAGCAGCACAGGAAGGGGCAGGTCCTAGAACCAGCAAAGGCAGTGTAAAAATAATTTACTTTGCCCTGGGATCTGGTCCCTGAACGTGCTGGGACCTCACAGGGCACACAAAACCGGTGGGTGCACCAAGCTCTGGGAGTGTTAGGAAAGGCCCTTCCTTGAGAAACACTGAAGGAAACAGGGATTTCCAGAGCTGTGGCCGCATTTTCACACAAACCAGACATAGTTTTATCATCTGTTTGATTGGAGTGGAAAAAAATTGAGTGACACTGCTCAGCTCTGGCAGTCAATTAACACACAGCCTTAATTAGGCCTGAGCAGCTCTCCATGGCAGGGACAGGGCTGTGCTACATCTACTCCTGCACATCTTCCAGCAGAGCTTTAGAGCATCTTACAAACATTAAACTGGGCTTTATAAACCCAGCCTGACATCAGGCAGAAAACCAACAGCACAGGAAAAGCCATTTGCTCAACCACACGACCAAATACAAGGGCAGAGTGGAGAGAAGCACCCAGAAATCATGATTTTGACTGAAAAGATCACCACATCTCCTTCCCAACGCTCACTGAGGGCGGTGGCAGCTGGGACTTACTCTGGAGGTGCCATTTTGCTGAGGTCAACGTCCTTCAGGAAGTCACTGTGCAGGGCCTGCTCTGCTGTGCAGCGCTTGCCAGGGTCCAGCGTCAGCATGTGGTCCAGCAGGTCCAGGGCAGAGGAGGGAATGCTGTGGGGAGAGTGGGAAACGTGGATGAGTTCATGGAAAACGTGTGGGAAAGCTCAGTGGGAGAAGGACACCTCAGGCCTAAGGGGAATCCACACAGCCAGAGCACATCGAGGGTGATGCAGCAGTTCAAAGGCACCAGCAGGGCAGGAATCAGCTCTGGGGAGTGGCTGGAGCTGTGCCAGGGGGGTTCAGGCTGGATTTTGGGAAGTTTTTCTCCCCCCAGAGGGTCCTCAGGCACTGGAACAGCTCCCCAGGGAATGGGCACAGCCCCAAGAGCTCCAGGAGGGTTTGGACATCGCTCTCAGAGACAGGGTGGGATTTTTGGGGTGCCTGTGCAGGGCCTGGAGCTGCACTGGATGATCCCTGTGGATCCCTTCCAGCTGAGGACATTCCATGATATTTCCACTCCCTATTTTGCCATTTATGAGAAGCACCTCTGCCACAACTCCCACCAGATCATCCCACAGGCAGACAGAGAACATCCCCCTGAAGATGCCACGCTTCAGGAGAGCTCCCAGTGCACCCCCCAACCCCAGGGAACCTCTCTGGAGGTGCAGGAGGTGTTGGGACAGGGAGCCCAGCCCGACTCACAAGGAGAACTCCTCGCGCAGGCGCCGCCGGTATTGCTTCTTGGGCTTCATAGTGTTGAAGTAGGGCAGCTTGATGACATCTGGCCACACGGCTGGGCAGGGGCTCCCACAGAGCCGGCTGGGGGCAGGGAAGCACAGTCAGGTGCAATTCACAGCACTCACAGAATCCCCAGCTGGGAACAGACCTTCAGGATCATCGGGTCCAAGCCAGCCCCAACTCCTCAACCAAACCCTGGCACCTCCAGCCTTGGTTAAACACCTCCAGGGGTGGTGACTCCACCACCTCCCTGGGCAGCCATTCCAGAACTTTATCATGAGAAGGAAAATGCTGAGTTTGAGTTTATAAATCATTCAAAATGATGACATTTTATTTTTCTTACTACAAAGTTTAAAATCTTAATGTTTCTTACTTTAAACTTTGCAAACTCACTAAATTTTAGGATTTTTACAATAAGGGTGGTCAGGCTCTGGCAGAGGCTGCCCAGAGAAGCTGTGAACTTGATAGCCCTGGAGGTGTCCAAGGCCAGGCTGGACACCTGGACAGGGTTTTGGAGCACCCTGGGATAGGGGAAGGTGTCCCTGCCCTGGCAGGGATGGCACTGGATGGGATTTAAGGTCCCTTCCACCCTAAATTACTCCAAGATTAAAACTTTGAGTGTGAGAATTAATTGAGATCGGTGATTTTTGGACTCAGCAAACACCAAGGTTTACTGAGGGTACATAAATCAGCAACCACACACCTGATTGTAGGTGTGGGGACACCCGATTATTCCAATTTTCATTCCCAGGCATTCCTGGCCCTGCTCTCCACGCAGCTTAGAGACCAAGAGCTCTTCTAACTCGCTGCCTTGTGTGCAAGAGCAGCTCCTGCAGCACCTCCCCTCACAGACATGTGTGTGCAAAGCTTTACCTGATTAATTCAAGCTGAGCCAGCTCCAGATTGGCTTGAAAAATAGGCTTCTTTGTAAACAGTTCCCCGAGGATACAGCTGGAAGGAGGAAAAGCAAGAGGTCACGACAGCAAACCCTGGGGACGAGCGTCTGAACACGGCAGCGTTTGTGCTGGGGAGAGGCTTTGCCTGAGGAGGGTGATTTGCATCAGGGCTTGTAGTGACAAAGTGACCTGTGTGTACCGAGCCCCCAGCCCTGGGCTCCTGGGAATCGCCTCCTGCTTGGGGCAGGAAGCCCCTGACACGTTAACTCCTCGCAGGGAAAGGAGGATGTGTCAACGTGAAAAGAGCCCAGAGCTCTCGTTTCCTCCAGGTTCAGCTTTTGTTTGGATTTTACTTCCCCAGCTGCCTGTGGCTGTCAGGGCCAGCAGAGGAGCTGGATTTGTGCGCACTTGTACAGTTTGGAGGGAAAAAAGAGGAGAGAGGGAGCACCTCTGACTCCTGCAGCCCTCAACATCTCTCCTTCAGCCACCAGGAATCGGTGCCAGGAGTAGCTGGGGGAATGCAGGCACCTGGCTGGAATGGGAATAACCCCATAATTATGATTAATTACTGGTTTTTTCATAACCTCTCTTTGTGTCATGAACCCTGCTGAAGTTTAGCTGGGAACATCCCAGTGGGAAGTGCACACTGTGGGGAATCCAGCCTCAGTTCTACTGCTGGATCCTCCAGTCTCTGCCTCTGAATCACCCAGAAAAATGTTCCACCTTTGTGGCTGAACTGGCCAGACTCCTGTTCCCCAGGCTTCCTGTACTACTGAAACTTCCTGAAACTTGAAATATCTACTTTAAAATGTTTTAGCTGAACAAAAAAAATAAATTAGTGGCAAACAGCAACTTAAAGAGTTTAGAGAAAAATTCTCTAAAAAACACACTGAAGGAGGGAGCAGCACAGGGCAAATGTGTCAGCCCTCCACAGCTCTGTCACCCCTCTTGATCTCAAGGGTACATCAATATCAGGTTGGTTTGCAGTTTAAATAGTGAAAATTGTGTTCCTTACCCTTTCTCATTTTCAAACCCAAGGAAAACCTGATTCTAGGAGCTTTTACTAAGTGGTTTTAATGAGGGGACACACCCCTGTCCCTCACAGCACAGCACTGTGACGTATTCCTGTCTCACCCTAACACCCTGTGCGGTGTTGGGCTGTGGGAATTCCAGCTGTGGGAATTCCAGCTGTGGGAATTGACACAAATCAAGGAGCAGCTGCCACGGGAGTGCTCAGGAGCTGCTTCCAGAGGCAGGGAAGGGCAGCAGGACTCACCCACAGCTCCACACGTCGATGGCAGGGGTGTAACGCTCCTCCCCGAGCAGCAGTTCTGGGGGTCGGTACCACAGCGTGATGACTTTGTTGGTGTAGGGACGGCTGCAAAGCAGAAAAAAAACCCCAAAACATAAAAACTCATCCCAAGAGCCACAAAACCCTGAAAACTTCTCATTTTTACTTCCCAGCTGCAGTAACACCTGTTGGTGGCAGCAAGGGGGGTTTAAAGTGTCTGCACTTCTGAGTTAAAAACAGCTGAGGAGGTACCATGGATTTTACAGGAATCAGGACTTGTTGTAAGTACCTCAGACTGAAAATCTCTGACCCTCAGCAGGCTGCCACCACTGAATGGTGACTGATCTTGCAGCAAAACCTGCTCCAGGGCAGGTCGAAGGCAAGCAGAGAAGTTCTGGCTCCTTCTGAGCTGCTCTTCTAGTGAAAAGTTATTAACATCAGCCAGGAGTGTATTTGTCCAACAGCTGGAGCTGGATGATCTCACTAAAAATCATTTGTCAGGACTTCCAAGTGAGGGATTATGTGGATACTGAGAAGAAAAAAGCTCATCCCACTCAGGTAAACCCTTTCCCCTTCCTCACCTCTCCTCCGAGCTGTAGAGTCGGGCGAGCCCAAAATCTGCAAGTTTGATCTGCCCACTGAAAGACAAAAAAACAGCCCCTGGTTTAAATCACACTTAAATCACAGAATTTTGGACTGTATTGAGCTGACAGGGACCCATCAGAACCCAACTCCTACTTAAACCTCAGTTAAAGGGTGAGGAAACCCCCCGAGTGCAGCAGAAAAGCCTCACAAAGCCACGTGTGCAGGAATTACTGCTGGATAGGCCAGGCTTAATTCTCCACTTCTGACTGAATGCTTCAGAGAAACACAAAGTTAAAAAAAAATCCCAAAACCCACCAATAATTCGGTGTCATCTGTATCACAAACCCTTCCCAACAGGCCAATAGCCCAGAGAATTTTTTTTAGGTGGATATTGAGACATTTGGTCATAATTTGGACAAAATTCTTGTCACACCTCCTGAGCACACCCAAGGTGAGGACAGCACTGAGTGCTCACAACAAAACCTGGAGAAAAAATGCTTGGAGAGATCTCCAAGTGGATCCACTCCCAGGTTACCTGTTGTTCAGTAAGATGTTGGAGCACTTGATGTCTCGATGAAGGAAATTCTTTTTGTGACAGTAATCCAGACCCTCCATTAACTGTTTCATGAAAGACTTGATATGGTCCTCTGAGAAATGTACCAAGCCAGATTCTAGCAGCCCCATTAGGTCATGGTCCATGTACTCAAACACAAGGTAAAAGGCACCTGGGATAATAAACAGAGAAATGGTTGAAAACAAAAGGAGACACACAAAAAAGAGGAAGAATGAAAGGAGATTAAATTGTTGAAAGAGTCTTTATTGTGCATAATTCTGCTGAAGTTGTTTTTTTTTAACAGTCCTTTGCTGTTCTGGACTTAATGGGTGTCCTTTTCCTTCAAGGAGTAAAAAAGCTCCAAAACAACAAAGTAGCCCCACCAAGCTGAGCTCTGAAATTAAATAACACTCAAAATAAATTCCTCTGAAGTTCTGGCCACATTTACCTTTGGTTATTTTCTTACAAGAGAGTTTGCTGAAGGACTACTGCCATGCATGGTTTGAATTTGTGTTCCCTTCTCTCTCCTGGAAGAGAAGGTCCCAAACAAGAGCCAGCGGGATGCTAAAACTCTTTTTTTCCACAGTACTGAGGACAAAGAACTTTTCGCACTATTAGTAAGTTTGTTGCCACTAATCAGTGTTAAAGATTTTTTTTTTTAAAGACTGCTCTCCTGTGACTCTGCAGGAATGCAATCATCCTTTGATCAACTCACTCCAACTGGAACCTGTCCTTCGAGGCGAGGCCAGAGCCAGATCCAACCTCGCTGGACGCGTAGGAGTAACACAAAGAAACAAACCAACCCCAGAGCCACATTTTCCACTAAAAAAGAGGCTGAATGAAATCTGTGTGATTGGAAACCACCCCTGCAGCCAGCTGTACCTTTGTCCTTCTTGAAATCCAGTGCATCTTGTTTGTCCGTGACGATCTCCTTCATGTTGACCACGCTGCGGTGGATGAGCTGCCGCAGGATTTTGATCTCGCGGATGGCCGTGATGGGGAATCCTTCCTTCTCGTTGTCCAGGCGCACCTTCTTCAGAGCCACCAGCTCACCTGCAGGGCACAGAGGGCTCACAGCCTGCTCACCTGTCAGAACTCAAAATGTCCCTCAGACATTTTTGGATGTTCCAGGCCCAGCTCAGAAGCATTTCAGACCCTGGCAGGCAGCTGGAAACAGCTGTGATTTTGGGTTTGAACCATGGAATGATTTGCCAACCTTGCAGGAAGAACAAGAAGTCACAAAAGTTTAGATATTAGAGTAGAAATAGTCACAAAGTAAAGGGAAGAATTTTTGAGTGCTGTACAGGAGGTTTTTGGTTTTGTACATGGGGGTCAGAGGTTTTAAGATGGAGGGATTTGGGCCTGCCCTGTCCTCCCTCTTTCTTCTTCCTCACCTCCATGTTCTTGGTGATGTTGGCACTCACAGATTGGTTTAGAGTAGAAAAGCATAATTTAATATAGGTAAATAGGCATTGGGGAAAAACTGTAATCATGTAACACGTAATGTACCATATAAAAGATAGCAGCAGCCCTCAGCGAGGGGAGAAAAGAAAAAGAAAAGAGCCAAAAAATTTGTCAAAGGTGTGTGTGTGTCTCTGCCTGAGCTGCTGAGCAAACCACAGCAGCCCGAGAAGAAAATCTTTTAGATAACTTGCAATAAACTACCTTGAGACCGGATGACTGAAGACTACTGAGTCTTTCTTTAAAGCACGGGTTGGAGGAGAGACTTTTCCACCACAGGGAGCCACCCTGAACTAGGGTGAGCTCTGGCACTCACCTGCTCCCCCAGGAAATTTGGAGCAGCCCCAAGCATGGGAAATGCCCCCTAAGGGATCTCCCTGCTCGCTGGGGTTCAATTGCTCTGCTGGGAGTTCTCACCTGGCACCTGTGCTTCTCCTAACCTGCTCTCTGAGAAATGGGCTTGCAGAGCCCTTACAAAAAAGGATAAAGATAAAAAAGATACTCCAAAGATATTCTAAAAGATACTTTGGAGAAACAGGACTGTGAAAGATGTATTGTAGTAGGACCCACATAGAGTAATTTTAGATGATTTGCTTTAAGACATTTACAGCATGGTGTGGCAAAAGCTGGTAAGAAATGCTTATAGTATACTGTAATTAAGAAATTAGTTGGCTTCTGATTGTGATGGCATGAGTTATAACATCTGTATTGTCTCACCTGTCTCATGAGACTGAAAATAGAACAAAAGCTTTTAAAGTACTTCTCAGTTGCCCCATCTCGGGGTCAGAAAAGGGCTTTAATCCAACACTGCTTCACCACAAAGGGGGAACAGAATTTTACCCTGGAATTTCCCAAGCTGTGCTGCAATAAAATCTGACAATTTAAAAAGCAGGGGTTCAACTGGCACCTGTGACCACCACAATCTTCTGAACACACCCCAGGGCACAGGATCTCACCAGCAAAGCAGGAACCTGGGCACGAAACTCAAGATTCCAGATCTCCTGCTCTTCTTCCCCTTTTGGAAAACACCCGATGGAAGTGCTTATCCCACTTGTGGCTCTGGCTGGGAGGTGAGCACAGCCACAAAGTGGAAGTGACCTGGAGCCCTGCTCACCTGTGTCCTTGTCCTTGGCTTTGTACACCTGCCCGTAGGTCCCTTCTCCGATTATCCCGATGATGTCGAACTTGTCCACGCAGCGCTTGCCCCAGTCGCTCTCCGTCTGCCTCCTCTCCCCGTAGCGAGGACAACAGATTCTGCACGAGGGAAGAGCTCTGTGAGGCACCCGAGGGCTCCAGCTCACTGCCACCCCCCAAAAAAACCCACCTGATCCACTGGGATAATGCCTAAAACACAACAGCAAAGCTCAGGCACGTTGGCTTTGCGCTCTCTCCTGCTGGGCGGGCTGTTTGATGTTTGTAATTCTACCAAAGTTATCCTAAATCAGAACACACCCCAAGAACTGGAATTTTCCTGGGTTGGCTATTGGAAGCTTGTATTTCTCCCCAAAATTACCCCAAATTAGAACACACTCCAAGAATTGGAATTTTCCTGGGTTGGAATTTTCCTGGGTTGGCTATTTGATGCTTGTGTTTCTACCAGAATTACCCCAAATCAGAACACACCCCAAGAACTGGAATTTTCCTGCGCTGGCTTGTATTTCTCCCCAAATTACCCAAATCAGAACACACTCCAAGAATTGGAATTTCATGGGTTGGAATTTTCCTGGGTTGGCTATTTGATGCTTGTGTTTCTACCAGAATTACCCTAAATCAGAACACACTCCAAGAATTGGAATTTTCCTGGGTTGGCTATTCGATGCTTGTATTTCTACAAAATTTTCCTAAATCAAAACACACTGCAAGAATAGGATTGTTCATTTCACTGTGTTTTTTTGCTGGATAATCCCAACCACACCAAATACAGAAGTATTATCCTGGATTATCACACTACAGCAGGGCAAAAATTAATGTCTGGGATATTTTGCAGGATGCTGGATGTTTGATTTTTTTTTTTATTTAAAACACTCTGTATAAAACATCAGGGGATTTTACTCCCTCAATAGCTGCTTAAGGTTTTTATCAGGGGAAGTTCTCTCGGCAGTGAATGTGGAATTGTGGAATCTCAGAACGGTTTGGGTTGGAAGGGACATGAAATATGATGAAATATGAAAGGCAGGGACACCTTGCACTGTCCCAGGGTGTTCCAAGCCCTGTCCAGCCTGGCCTTGGGCACTTCCAGGGATCCAGGGACAGCCACTGCAGTTCCATGGCCAACACTTCAACCATGAAATGCATGAAGAATTCAAATTTCCAATTTGGAACAAGCAACTTTTGAAAACAACAAGAGCTTTATACAGAGATGCTCATCCAGAGGTTTCTCCTGGCTAAATCAAAGAGAAAAGCGCTTTTGGGGTAGATGTGGCTGAAAATTGGACACTACAAACTCCAGCAATTTCTACCATTAATTCTAAAATAAATGGGGCAAGCTGCCTTTGTCTGAGGGTCCAAATGTGAAACAACCTACAGGAAACATTCACCACACTGAATAATACAGAAATAGGAACTTGTTTTCTCTCCCATCTCACTTCCCTCAATAAAAAGCTCGCAAATCAGTCGGGGGACTTAAGATACTCAAAGATTTAAAAAAAAAAAAAAAAAAAAAGAAGTCAGCCTTACTTTGGTCTCTTTTTGAAGGGTTGCTGAGGTGGTGTGGCTGCCTTTGGTTCTGGGGAGTCGGGAGGAGATGGGTCCCCCCCAGGGAGCTCTGGGGGGAGCGGGAGGTCCGTGAGTAAGTGTCGTGGTCTCTGCTCTCTGTCTTTCTTCACAGGTTTTGGAGGAAGAATCTCTTTTGGACTAAACTCCGAAAAGTTAATACAACACAAAAGTCAGACTCAACAGCCAGTTAAACAAACAAACAAACAAAAAGTTACTGCAGGATAACAGCTCTGGTTGACAACGTCAGGTTTAAGTGTCAAAATTAGCACAATATAAAATAAACCAGGTTAAATTTACAGTGCTCATACACCAGGAGAGAAAAGTGTCAGAGTGGAACACATCATGAAATGAACACACAGGTCTGCACTAGAACTTGCTCAATTTGCACAAATTGGTACCAGTAATTCGGAGTTTCCTGTGAGGCAGCTCAGGGGATCAGCCAGCACCCACTTTCTGACCTTTACTTCCTCTATTTACTCCATTTATCACCACGAAATTAAGTGCTTGACTTGGTGAGGACCACTATAAATGCAGACCCAGAGCTAAACCTTCCTCCAAAAGAAACTTTTAACCTCTTAGCAAGGAGTGAAATGTGGCTTTAACTTCCAAATGCTGCTGAGGAACCGAAAGTTGATTTTTTAAATCCAATTATCAGGAGTTTGGTTTAGGCTGGCAGGAGCAGAACCTACTTTCTCTTTCATGTATTCAGAGAGGAGAACTCCTAGGTTTGAGGAGTCACAAATTCTCCATGCAAATCATTGCTTCACCAGGAAAAGGAAAAAATTAAGAGATCCAAGGAGCCTTCCCAGGTCTGTTTTTATGGCAGGAAGCAGATTTGGTGTTTGAACCATCAGGTCTAACACTTTAGAATAAATGAACTGATGGAAGTAGGTCGTTTTCCCAATTATTTTATTAGACACTGCCTAATAATCTGCAATAATCTCTTGTGAAATCTACTTAAGGAAGACAAAAACCACCAGAAATGGGAGAGGCAGATGGGCTGAAACTCTCCCCTCGCTGACAGCAAAATCCTTAGGAGCAGAATAATCCTGTTCAAATATCCAAGAAAATGTTACAGCTGGAAAAGATCAAGTCCAACCATGAACACTGCCACATTCACCACTGAACCACAACAAGATTCAGCCTTTGTCCAGAATTAAAAACAACTTTCTTTCTAAGACCACGGTGGGAAGGGTGAGGTGTGTATTCTGGAGAGAGAACCTGCAGTGCCCAAATTACCAGTTACCAGTTCCCAGTTGCCAAAAATTCCCATTTTCTTGCATTTTATCTGTTCAGTTCTCTATTTGCATATCAGCACTTGGTTCCTCTGAGCTCAGTTCCCCCAGGACACCTGGGCTGGTCAACAGAGGGAGGAAGCCAAACAGAGCCTTCAGAGCTGCCCAAGCAGAGAAAAGACCGAGAGTGAACACCAAGAACACAACAAAAGCTCCTTGGAGCTCATTTCTTCCTCTCCTGTGAAGCAGCAGGAATTGGCACCCCAAAACCTGCAGGAATGGCACCCCCAAAACCTGCAGGAAAGGCAGCAGCCAGGTGAGTGCCGTGTTCTCAAGAAGCTGCACAAGAACTACATCAAACCAGGATTAAATTCGTACCAATTCCTCCTAAACAGCTTTTCTTCCTCTCCTTGTGAGCCACCCAGGCCTAAAAGCACCAGAGGAGGTGATAATTCTGGAGAGGTTAGAGCATCCACTTGACAAAGTGTGTTCTGTCCTTGGGCACCTCAAAATCCAATTTCCAACCCTGTATTTGCCATGGGCTCGGGGCTGGAACATTCCCCAGGCTCAGCAAGGACAAAAGTCCAGCTCAAAGAGTTTTGCTCCTAAAAATGAAGGCCACTGGTGAAGGGTGAGATTCTGCATAGTCAGGGCCACATGGAACTGCCACCAGACTCAGCAAAACAAGTGGGATTTCCCATCCTTTTATTGGGAAAAAGTCACACAGAGGCATTTACTGCGCCCCAGCATCACCCTCAGCACCCCAGCCCCGGGGTTAGGGATAAAACAATTTTACAGAGCTAAGCCACACCTGGGTGGTAAAAAAACAGAGCTCTAGGTGTGAGGGGTTGAAAAAATAAAACAGAAATTTGCAGGACAACTTCTGGGATTGGAAAGGAGGGAACACTGCAGCAGGATCTGCTTTGCCTGGCATTTGGGTTGGGAAAATCAGCAGGCAGCTCAAAGCTCCTGCTCAGCACAGAGATATTTAAAACCAGAAATATTTGTTGAGCAACATCACACAGGGAGGGCAACAAACACACACCAGCCTCACTTTTAGGTTGGGGGCAGTGAGAACATTTCCCTGCTCGCCATCAATACCAGAATCATCCATGAGAATAAATTCAATTATTCAGAATATATAACACTTCACCACAGGGTGATTGTATCGAGTCAGAACTGTGGGATACCACACCGGTCACTAAAAATGTGCTTTACTCCCCAATCCCAGCACATCTTTAGTGATGACTGGGAGGATACAAGAGGTTTTAGGAACTACAGGCTAAGCAGGTCACATAAAAAAAAAAAAAAAAAAAAAAAAGTATCACTGATGACCTTAAGTTAACAACACTGCAACATACTAACAGCTAGAAAAGGAGAGAAAAAACATATATTTGGGTTTTTTTTTTTCTTCTTCTCCACTCCATTCTGGATATTCTGTTTCTTTCTTCTCACCAAAAGGAACCCCCTGAGTGGGGTTTTCAGATAAGTTCATCACAAGTCACAACCACCCCCAGCCCAGCCAGAGCTACAGAGGACAGAGCCAAGAATGCTGCAGGTTTTGACCAGAAATGATCAGGAAATAAAGTTGAAGCAGGTGCAGTTTCACTCATTTTTCAACTTTTCAAACAAACAATACCTACTTCTCAAGCAATAAATTGCTTGCATCGATTACTCAAGAATTAAGACAATACTCAAGTTAAAGCAATGCTGGTTTTTACATGTAGGCATGGCCTGTGAATCTGGAACAGAAAAAGCTCTGGTTTGTGTTCTTGTAAAGGATTTTTTAAAGAATTGTTAAGCTTTTTCCTGTTCCTTGAGTATAAGTTTCTAAAGAATTAAGCAAACAAACAAACAAAAAGGCAATTTTAAAGTAAGTGTGCAAACAGCTCCAACACACAGAGAGGCAAAACCCCAAATCCACGTTCCATCCCTGTAATAAACATAAGCAAAGAGTGATGTGAAACCTTTACCAAGCAGCAGCCAAACCTCTTGTTTCCCACAGAGATAAGAGGCAACAACCTGCAGGAGATCATAAAACTCTCCACACAAACCTGGCAGGCCCAACACCTGGGATAACTCCTTTAAACCAGCACCACAGTTGTACTCTGCAGGGTAAGCTCATAACTGTAAAACCAACCCAAAAAAAAACCCCAAAAACCCTCTTTATTCAAAGCTTTGCTCTTAAATGCAAAGGGGATGCTCTGGTGTGACCTTACCTATCCAAGTCATCTTCCCCAACTAAAATAGGGGGGAGCGGAAGCGGAGGCAAGGTGGAAGTTTTCAGGTGTGGGATAGCAGCCGTCACAGACACTTGGGTTTTTGTAGCCACCTGGACAGAGGACTGGGAGTTCACCTGAGAGGATAAAGTAGACGTCCTTGGGTGGGAGGAAGAAGATGGCAAAGACGTTGGGGCTGCAGGAGGGACCTGAACAGGAGTCACTGGGGCTGGAGGCAAAGGAGGGACAGCGGGAGACGGAGGCAGCGGCGGCAGCGGCGGCGTGGGAGGCGGAGGGGTGGTGGTGGGCAGAGGTGGAGGAGGGGATTTGATGGTGGGGAGGGGGGGTGGAATCTCCTTCTCTGCTGTGTCTGTCTCCTTTGGAGATACCAGGTCCTCTACCACTGCTACAGGCTTCGAGTCTTTTGTTCCCGTGGGTTTGGAATCCCTAAGTGGAACAGGATGTTTCCTCTCCGAGTTCTCCTCCGCCTTGGATTTCGTTGTCTCCGCAGGGGCTTTAGGTTCTGCGTTGGTGGACAGCAAATGAACCGAGTCCGTGTCCAGAGCTTTCTCAGATTTAACAGTTTTGGTGACTTTTTTAGACTCCGCCCCAGCCTCCTTTAGTTCAGCCAAGCTGTTCTCCTTCCTAGCCAGGAAAACAGGGGAGCCTTTCGCCTCCTTGCCGTCCACCTTGGCCGCAGCGGCTGCCGCGGCCGCTCGCTCCTTCTTCTTCCTGCTGAGCTCCGCTCCGAGGCTGGAGTTGAGCGGGAGCCTGCTTGGGGAGATGCTGGAATGGCGACTGCGGGAGCCAGACCTCTGCTTCTTGCTGTGAGATGAGTGTCTCGAGTAGCCAGGACTGCGGCTCCGGGATTTCACCGATTTCCTGTGGAGAGAAATGAAACGGAGATTTTCTCACCCTCTGAGCTACCCACCAACAGCTGAATGGGTTACTGGGCAGCTCAGAGAGGCCACACCACCTCTCAGGAGAGGCTGAAGGTACTGAAAGGAATTTCTGAGTCAATCAGGAGCAGTTCTATACCATCATCATCCACCCTTCCCACTGTCACACTGGGAAGAAAAGGGAAGGATCAAGGCTGGGCAAGCCCCAAGGGAGAGAGGAGCTCACACACCAAACAGGAGACTCCAGCCAAGAGGATGAGCTGGCAGTTCAGGAATATTTCACAGGAATTATGTCCAGCTTTAAAGGAAACCATGGATAAAACACAACCACCCTGACAGGGATGCTGCCTCAGGAAATTGGGCACTTCAAGCTCGTTTTACCCCCCTGGTTCTTTTACTGCCATCAGAACTCAAATTTGCATAGTGTGATTTGGAAGAAGGAAAAATAAACTCCAGGAATTTTAACTCTGTTGGTCAAGGTCTTTCTGTACAAAGAATGGGCTCTAAATCAGGTGTGTGTGCAGAAATGATCACAGAAAATCTGCGCTGGGAGAGAAGCAAGGCAGGAAACAACCTCACACCATCAGGGTTCCCCCCACATGAACCTGCTCAGGAGAGAGGGGAAACTGGTGGGGAAACCAGATAAACACCAAAATGGAAAGTGGAAAGTGGTACTTCCAGTGCCCATATCAAATTCCTGGTAAGCCAGAACTGTTTCCTCTGCTCCAGGAGGAGGGAGGATTGGGCAGGGTGAGGGAGAAGGCTTTAATGGTGTGGTAGGCTCTGATGCCAACACGACAACCAAAAATTCTGAGTTCAAATACTGTAACAGACACGACACATCTAATTTGGAAAACACACAATTCCATCCAAACAGTCCCACAGCAGTTACAAAACACACTTAATAGCAGCAGTTCAAACACAGGCGGCCCTGGCTCCCTTGTATCCACACTCAGAACATAATTAACACCACCAATTAGTGCTCTCCCAAGACAATAAACATTTGGAAAATAAACTGGAGAAGTGAGACAACAGGAAGTTCCTGTCCCAACACCAGCAGCACCTTGCAGGAGGAGCAGCTGTGAGCGTGGGAGGTGAAGGGTGTCCCCACGGGTGTGGGGTTCCCTCCCTACTCCAAGGATCAGCATTCCTCTCTCCCACTTGGAAGGACAAGCCCAAGCCTCATGCTGACAGTGGTCAAAGAACACCAGGGCTGTAGGTAAATCCTTACCTTTAGACTTGCAAAATAAATATACAACCAGGAGGAGAAAAAAGCAGGGTCTGCAGTCACACAGCTGCTTCCCTCCTCAGCACACTGCTCTGCCTTGGGAAAGGGAATGCTGCCTCAGGATCACCTCTTTTCCCAAGGTTTCTGCTCAGTGAACTGCCAGTCTGGGCTGCAGTTTGCCTGGCACCACCAGCTGGGAGAGCAGTTACCTTTTCAGCAGCTCCAAGACATTTCCAGGCTAAGGAAAACATTCCTAATGAATCCTGGAGGATGTCACCGACTGCAACCACAAAGTTTTGGGGTTCCCTACTGCAATTCATCCAGGATAGATTGTTCAAAATGCTGCAGTGCTCCTTCTCCTGCTCCCTGTCTTCCATCCTGCCCCACGATTAACCTCCAGGAGTCACTGCAATTCATGGAATCATGCAAGGGTTTGGGTTGGAACAGACCTCAGAGCTCACCCAGTGCCATGGCAGGGACACCTCTCACTGTCCCAGGCTGCTCCAAGCCCTTGGGCACTGCCAGGGACGCAGGAGCAGCCACAGCTTCTTTTGGAACCTCTGCCAGGCCTCCTCACCCTCACCAGAATTTAATCCAGCTGCATGCAGAGCTGAAAGAACCTGGGTTTGGTTTAGGGGTTCCATGTGGTGGGAAAGTTTTTTTTTTTTAACTTGTGTTTTTAAAGAAAAACTTAGTAGTTTCTTGTTGTTTGGTTTTAAGGTAGTTCATTGTAGGTTATTTAAAAGATTGGTTTTTTTGGGCTATTGTGGTTTGGTTAGTAGTTTAGGTGGAGGTAAACACACTCTTGATACTCTGTTTTTTGACTTTTTTTTTCTGCTTTTGGGCTGTTGTTATTTTTTATATGGTATATTACATGATAAATGTTTATAGTTTTTGAAATATTTATTACTTATATTAAAAGGTGGTTTTTTATTTTAAATTAATTTGTAAGTGCTAATATCACTAAAAATATGGAGGTAAGGAAGAAGAGGAAGGATAGGACTAGCCAAAAATCTTTTTAACTTAAAATCTCTGCGTCTTATGTATAAAGTAAAAACCCCCCCTGTACAGGTGTTAAAACCCCCCTGTATACTAAAAAATTCTTCCCTTTATTTTGTAACTACTTCTATAATATCTAAACTTTTGTGACTTCTTGTTTTTCCTGCAAGGTTGGCAAATCGTTCCATGGTTCAAACCCAAAATCACAGCTGTTTCCAGCTGCCTGCCAGGGTCTCAAATGCTTCTGACCTGGACCTGGAACCTCCAAAAATGTCTGAGGGACATTTTGAGTTCCAACACAGAGCAATCAAACCAGATCACTTGCCAGATCCAAAGTGAACATCCCCAAAAGTCCAAATCATCTTATTTAAAGATGCTAATTTAGAAACAGCCACCAGGGTTCTGCCTGGACTGGGACAGGTGAAGGTGGGGAAGTGCTGCACTTCCTCCCTGACCTTCCAGCAGCAAAGATCCACACTCCTCTGTTCCACCAGGAATAAATGCACCCATTGCCTCCCAGTCCTCTTCACTCCACAGGCAGCCCTCGCCCTTCTTCTCTTCACTAACAATAATTCCACACTTATAACTGCTGTTTCCAAGCCCATTTTCCAGGCTGCTTTTGGAAGAAAACCACTTCTAACCTCTGGAATGATTTTTTTTGTGGCTTTACCTGTAGCCATTTAATAGCACTTTTACCCCTTTCCCCCTTAATTTGTAACATTCCACACCTTACTTGCTTTGTCAAGGTTATCCAGGATGGATCAGGGGCAATTCAGCCTCACATTCCTTCCTCCTTCTGGATAAAAATGATCTGGGATTAAAAACCCACCCTGCTGCCCCTCCAGAACTAGAAAACAGAAATAAAAGATACCAACCATGACAGCTGTGAATTAACGAGGAAATGATGGATTCATCTAAAACTCCAAATTAAAAAGCACTATGAGATTTGTTGAAGTCACACACTCAGAAGATTGGGATGAAGGGAATGCTAGAACCTTCCATGCTGAGATGGCCATGGTTAACAGGTGTCAGCAGAGGTGACCTGCAGAGCCCCACATCCACAAAATTCCACACCATCCACTGAAAATCACCTACAAATATTTCAGTATTTCACCTGCTCTAACAACACAGAGTTAAGGATAAAGCAGAAAATACTATCTGGGAAGCCTGACTGCCCCAATTTCTCAATAAACAAACTTTAATTCTTATTTTTGAATGCCCAGCAACCTTTCACCACGGCAAGGACCCATCCTGTGCACGCTCACACACGAGCACTCAGCACCTCCAGCAAGATGAGGGACTCTGGAATTCCACATTTTAGCTGCAGTGACAACATTCCCCACACAGAATGGCAAAGCACATCTGTTATTTTCCCTACTGACCAAACCATCCTCGTTTCCTCCTCGATTGTTTTCCACAGCCACTGGAAATGCAAACACCCTGGGTTTTCTCCAATCAGCACAGCACATGGGTGCAGTTCCCTAATGATGTGTTTTGGACATGGAGATGAAAGAAAACACAGAATGTACTAAAAAAAACAGAAACCACCCCATATTGTCAGTCAGTGGAAATAATGGAGTGTCCCAGAAAAGCCTGAGGAACGCAAGCCTTGCTCAGGTGTTCCCTGTCTGAGTGTGCCAGTTAAAGAGGTTTTTTCCTCCCAAAAAATGTTCCTGCCTCTCCACAGAAAGCAGAGAAGGAATCAGCCACTGCCCAAAGTCAGCTGCCTCCTTTCACACCCATCTGCAGCACATCAGGGTGAGGAAGGCTCTGCTCATCCTCTCCCTCAGATGTGCCCTGAGCTTCCCCAGTCTCCAGGTGAGCATCCCTCTGTCTCCTGGACACACCTGACCAAGAGTTCCCCACCTCCAGTCTCACCTCTCATCCTGGGAGCTCCACAAAGCAAAGCTAACACATGAATTACAACTCAGACTTCACCTGAGACATGGAAAACAGGTGAAATTCCCTCTGTCCCTTTGCTACAGTCACTGCAGGCAGGTGTTTTCCAAAGGGGCTGGAATACCTCACACAGTCAGTGAGTTATCTGCCCAGGAAAGAGAGAGGAGTAAGTTATCAAGCCAGAGGTTCAGAGAGTTGGGTACAAGCTGAATGTAAACAGTGAGTAACCTTTGGAACTCATCTGGTTTGGGGTCCAGCATTTAAGTCAGAGATGTCCTTAGAAAGTTGCTCTGAAAGTTTAGGGCAGCAGCACAAAATGCCCTGAAGTTGCTCCCATAAATCAGGGAAATGAAACTGCTGGATTTCTCTACTCAGAAGCAGCCAGGCACTTACACAGAGAGGTTCTCCTGGGGAGAAAACTCTTAGGATTGCTCTGCAGCTCCCAGTGGCTTCTCCCTGCTCAGGGCTGGACACTTACTCAGCGCCACAACTCTGAGTTGTGTCAGTGAACTGACACCTTGCACCCTCACCCTTCCAAAGGGTGAGCAAATAACGTGTCAGAGTAGCACCACCAGGCAAAAAGGACTGGAGGGAAGGAGCAGAAAACCATCCAGGCCTATCCCTGAGAACCTCCCAGGTGTACACAGAGAAAACAGGCCAGAGGAGGAGCAGCCTGGAGGAAATTTTCACTGTAAAATCACAGTGGAATACAGAGATTTTACGTCAGAGCATCCAGGGGGGTTGAAACCAAGACAGAACTGCCAGCAAGGACAAAGGCAAGCTCTCCATGGAAGACAGCACTCCTGAAGTTCAGAGCTGTAGTAACAAAGACCAAATTCCAAAAGCCCCGTGTGCTTTGGGAACTGCTGAGCTGCAGGATGCAGCACAGCAACCAGGGAGCAGAGCATTCCTATGGCCATTGCATTCCAGGTCACATCTGAATTGCCATGGAGCTCCAAGCAAAGCTCCACAGCATCCATGGAGACAACTGGAAACTCACTGAACGTTAAGCCAGGGCTAGAGAAAGAAAAGATCAACATTAGACTATGTCACAGGACGATTAATGAACACCTGAAATAAAACACACAGAGCTACCTTGAAATAATTGTTTCTTTCTGGAGCAAAGTTACTGAGTAAAAGGGGAAAGAGAGAAAATTAGAGATAAGCCAAAATCCAGTTGGTTGCTCCTCGCCCTTCCAGACTGCCCACATTTCAGAAGGTAAGAAACTCTAGCGCTGAGAAAAGAAAGTTTAGGCTGAGAGATGGAGTTTGCACGTGGCTGCCTCTAATCCAAGGGGAAAGAAAAGACAAGACAGTTCAGAAAGAGCAAAATCCACCCCAAACGAGCCCTCCTGAAAAGCAGGATCACACTCCCACATGCAGCAAACAGATAAAGGCTTCCAGAAATAGGTGAAAACATTCCCCACGGCTGAACTTCCCACCAGGTAAGCGCCTTAGATCCTGCTCCGGGAGCCTCCCCACGCAGGGGCCACTCCAGAGGTGGGTGTAACTTAATCCCAGCAGCTCCTCCAGCCTCTCTCCCTGCCCGGAGCCAACATGGACGCTGCCTCCCGCCAGCCACAGAGGCGCTTCCCGAAGTGTCAACCCCATTTCCAAGGGAATGGTCAAGGCCCCAACCAAAGCCAACTCCACACACGTCACTCCACGGCCAAACTAGGCACCAGTGGGGGAGGAATCACAGAGTGGTTTGGGTTGAAAAGGGCCCTCAAAAGCATCCCATGGGTAGGAACACCTTCCACTATCCCAGCTTGCTCCAAGCCCTGTCCAACCTTGGACAACTCCATGGATGGAGCATCCACAACTTCCTTGGGCAAGCGCGCCAGGGAAGAATTTTTTCCCCCAATATCCCACCTAAACCCACTCTCCATCAACCTGAACCCATCCCCCCTATATCCCATGACTCCAAACTCTCCCGAGCTCCCTTGTGGCACTCCCAGCTCCCGGGGCGAGGTGGGGCACACGCACCTGGCGATGGGGCTCCGGCTGACCGAGCGCTTGGAGGCGAAGGGGCTGCTGGAGCGGCGGCGCCCGTAGGGGCTCGGGGACCTCCCGCTGTAGGAGCCGCTGCCCCGCTCGTAGCTGGACGAACGCCTCCGGCCGTAGGGGCTCACGGATCGCTGCCGCCGGCTGTAAGGGCTGGGCGAGCGGGCGTTGGACTGGTAACCCACGGGCTCCTTGTAGGGCGGGCTGAGGGACTGGCGGCGTGAGGATCCGCCGGGGCTTTTCCTGTAGGGATCGTAGGTGCTGGAGGTGTGCGAGCGGGGCGGGCTGAGGTCGTATTCCTGCACGTAGGAAGCTCCCGAAGGGCTGTCGTCCAGTTTTGGGCTGTCCGACCATTTCCTGTGAGGGCTCCTGGATTTCCTCTTGGGGCTGTCGATGGTTTTGTAACTTTTGGGAGCATCCCTTTTGCGATGGCTTTTGCTGCGCTCTTTGTGGCTGGACTTGAGCTCCCGCTCCTTCCTGGATTTCTCCTTGTGCGCCTTGGCCGAGCGCGATTCCTTGTTGCTGCTCTTGGAGGAGGAGAGCGCCTTGGGGTGCTCCTCGCTCTCCAGGAGCCTCTTGGAGGATCCCGATATCCTCTCCTTGGCGGACCTGCTGGAAGCATCCAGGCTCTTTTCCAACTTCCTGTCCTTCTCCGCCTGTTTGCTCTTCATCAGCTCCCGGAGCCGCTTGTGCTGATGGTGCCGGTGCTTCTGGGCCCTCTCGCTCCTCTCCGCCCTCCTCTCGTCGTTGTCCCGCCTGTCCAGCTTGAGGCCCACATCGTCCGAGAAGGTGTCCGAGTCCGAGCTGATGTCATCGTACTCCACCAGCGGCTTGATCACCGCTCCCAGGGGCGCCGCCGCTTCCTGGGCCGCCAGCGGGGACTCCTTGGAGTGCCTGGACTTGTGCCTCTTGTGCCTGGAGCCCGCCCGGTGCCTCTCCTTGCTGTTGGAGCTGCCGCCGCCCGGCTGCGAGCACGCCCCGCCGCCGTCCTTCTTGCCCCCATGTCTCTCCGGGTTTGGCATTCCTCCCCCGCTGCGCTCGGGAACGGCGAGGGGCGGACTCGGCGGAAACCCCCAACTTCAAACTCCCTCCGCGCCCGCCCCTCGCACCATCCACGCCGGCCTCGCTGCTCCCGCCTCACACGGGGAGCGGGGCCCGAGGCCCCGGAGGCGGCGGGAGGGACGGGCGGGGGGGGGGGGACGGAGCCGGGAGGGGAGGGGGAAGCGCCGCGGCCTCACCGCCTCATCCGAGGGGGGGCCCAGGCCCGGCGGGCAGCGCGGCCGCCCCGGGAAGGCGGGGCCCGGAGCGCTGCCCGCGGCCTCAGCGGCGGTGGCGGGGCCTGGGCGCGGATCCCCGGCCGAAGGGGCCCCGGAGCCGCCGCCGCCGCCCCCGGCGCGGCCCCCGCGCTGTGCCCGAACCGGAGCGGCGCCGTCCGGGGGCACCGCCAACTCTCGCGAGACCCGCCCGCAACTCTCGCGAGAACTCCGCCGCCGCCACCCCTCCCTCCTTCCCTCCCTGGCGAGTCCTCCTCGTCCGCGAGTCCTCTCGGAGATGGGCGGGGCCCGCGCGCTCGTCCTCTCGCGAGAGCCACCAAATCGCGCGGCGGCTCCTTCCCAGCGAACTTTATTGGGGCGCGGGGCGGGGACAGCGCCCCCTAGCGCCCGGCCCGCAACAAAGCTCCCATGGCGGCGCCGCCGCTTCCGCCCCGCCTTCCCGCCGCTCTCCCGCTCCGCCGCGCCGCGCTGCGCTCTAAAGCCGCCGGCGGGTCGCTGCCGAGCCCTCCCCGGCGCACCGCCGGCTAACGGGCGGTTAACGCTCCGTTAGGGGCTGCACAGCGGCCGCCGCGCTTCCAGCGCGCTGAGGGGCGGGGCGCGCTGTCCCCGAGCCCCGCCCCGCTCCCGCGGAGTCTCGCGAGAGCGCGGGAGCGCGGCCGCGGGCGCAGCGATGGCGGCGGCCGCCGCCGTGTGAGGGCGAGGGCGGCCCGGCCGCCGCCACCGCTCCCTCTCCGCTCCCTCTCTCCAGCCCAGCCCCGCATTTGCAATATGAAGGCAGCGCCCGGCAGCGCCGAGGGTGAGTGCGGCGCGAGGGGCGCGGGGGTTCCCGGTTCCCCGTGAGGGAGCCAGGGCGGCCCTGCGGATCCGAGGCTCCGGGTTGAGGTTGAGGTGGCGGCCCCGAAAGTGAAACGGGCGAGGGTCACAAAAGGTGGTTTGAGGTGTGGGGCGTCTCTGTGAGGAGGAGGAGGGAGCTGGGCCTGGTTACTGTGGAGGGGAGGGGATGGCATCAGTCCGGGCAGATATCGCCAGGGGCTGGCAGAGCCCTGTTCAGGCTCTGCTCAGCGACAGGACGAGGAGAAATGGCCAGAAAATAAACCACAGCAAGTTCCACCTCGGCACAACGAAGAGCTTCTTTCCAGGAGGGTGTCCAGGGAGGGTGAGGGGTCTCTGGAGAAATCCCACACCCACCTGGGCACATTCCAGGTGACCCTGCCTGGCTGGGTGGGCTGCAGAGATCCCTTCCAGCTCTCTCCTGGGTTCTGGACAACTCGCTGTTGGTTGAGGAGGGGCTTGGACCAGATGAGCTTCAGGGTTCCCTTCCCACCTGCAGCATCTTGTGTTGATGCAGCTGAGAGGTGTAAAGTGCCTGAAAACAAATCCCAGAGTAGCTGGGGTTGGAAGGGATCTCTGGAGATGATCCAGTCCAACCCCTCTGCCCAGGCAGGGTCAGCTGGAGCAGAGGACACAGGTGGGTTTGGAATGTCTGCAGAGCAGGAGGCTCCAGAACACCCAGCATTCATTCATTCCTTACACTTGGGTTTGGAGGGCTCAGTGTGGGGTCTGTGGGCTAGCAGAGCATCAATCAGCAACCCAAACTGTGGCATTTTGACAGGTGGAAGTCACAGGCTCCTGTGAGGTGACACTAAAATGTCATGTCTGCATTGGACCCTCTGGGGCTGGGGACAGGGTTTATTCTGGAATGACATCCACTGGGGTTTTTTTGACATGAAAGTGTGGAAAGCTCAGTCTCTAGGCAGTAAAATACAGGATTTCAGTGTTCATGAGAACCATGTTCTGTTTGTCACTCATCCACTGCTTCATCCCCCCCCAGCACTTGGAGCAGCATGAGGGGACAGCAGCCCTCAGCTTGGAGCTGATTGTGGAGCCATGGAATGTCCTGAGCTGGAAGGGACCCCCAGGACCATCAAAGCCCAGCCCCCATCCCTGCACAGGCACCCCAAAAATCCCACCCTGTCTCTGAGAGCGATGTCCAAACCCTCCTGGAGCTCTTGGGGCTGTGCCCATTCCCTGAGGAGCTGTTCCAGTGCCTGAGCACCCTCTGAGGGGGGAAAAAAATTCCCAAAATCCAACCTGAGCCCCCCTGGCACAGCTCCAGCCACTTCCCCATGTCCTGCTGTGGGGCAGGAACGTGTCTGAGCACAGAATTTGTGACAACTGCCAATTAGAATGACTTGGCTGAGGTTTTTGATGATGGAAAGTGTTGAGGACCTTTCAAGAAGTTGAGGGAGAGACCAGAGGGGGAATCCAGGACACAAAACCCACTTCACTGCTTTAACCCCATGTTTCCCACACCTTCAGTTTCCTGCCTGAGACCCTGGGGATCCTGTCCTGACAGAACTGAACCTGCTGAGGCCACATCGCTCAGGGATGGTGCAGAACAGGAGCTGTTCCAGGAAAATCCATAAGATTTTCATGCTCCTTTAGTATTAACAGCCTGGGATATTTCATAACACTTAACCTCACCTCAAGTTCTGGGGTTAAACCAGCAGTTATTAAATACTTTGAAGTCATTTTCAGCTTAAAGGTGGAAAGTTTTGTATTGTTAAAGTGGTTTGTAAAACTTCCAAAGTTGGCTCATCGTGTTTGCTGAATGTTCCTGTGTGACAGAGGCAGAGAAGCTGAACAAGATGAGCTCCCTCCTGGAGAGGCTCCACGCCAAGTACAGCCAGAACCGGCCCTGGACAGAAACCATCAAGTTGGTCAGACAGGTCATGGTGAGCATTGCTGGGCTCTGAGCTGCAGCTCCTCTGCTGAAGGATTTCTGTTGGGTTTTTAGACCTTTTCCAGGTGGTTTTGTTGTGTCCATGTGTCATGGTTTGATACTGGTACAATGCCAGTGTCCCCGTGAAAATGCAGCTTCTTAACTGGGTGCTGTGAAATGTGATTGAGAATAGAGTAAAGCAGGCTAAGCTTAATAACAAAAAGGAAAAAAAAATTATTAAGCTACTACTACTATACTACTATAAAAGAAAAAAAAAGAAAGAAAAGCACACAAAATTTAAAATTAAAACCTTTCAAAACATTCCTCTTCTTACTACCTAACTTTTATAAACTACAGTGAGACACATTTGGACTCTTAATTAAGTATTTACCTTTTAATATAATCAATACTGAGTCTATCAGGGGAGAGCGGAGTCTCCCTTGCACTACAGACTCCTAGGAAACACAGCTGCCACTTCTTGTGTTTCTGTGTCACACATGGCACTGCCTGGGGAGAATCTGCCAGTGTGACACTCTCCTCTCTTTGTCACTGTGCTCTCACCACCGTGCATGGACAGAGACTGCTCATAGGGCTCCTTTAAGGATGCTTTGCCAAGAAACAATAGTTTAGTGATTCATTTTGGGGCTACAGTCCCCCCCATTTTCCCCTAAAGCCTTTAACCCCTCTATGTTAAAAGTGTGTCTACTCTCAATTGGTTATTCTAAGTGTCAATATCTAAACCTGACCCCTGACTACATTAACTTCTTCCTGCCGAGAAGATTCCTTTTCTTATGTCAAACCACAGCACTGTGGCTTCACTGTCTCCTGAGGGGTGCAGGGGAGGGAGGGATATCCAAACCCGCCCAGCCTGATGTGCCTTTCCCTTCCCTAATTACTGTTCAGTGCCAGGGAGAGGGTCAAACTTAAATTTTGTGCTACTTACCCTTCCAGGATATTGTTTTGTGGAGCAGTTTGTTCAGTGACACTCAACACTCAGTTCTGGCTTAGTCAAAAATGGATTTAAAATATTGGTGTGGGAGCAGGAGGCAAGGGAGAGCTACAGCAAAACCTCCTGCCCACACTCAGGTGTTTGAAGTTTGCCCAGCTCTTTATTTTTCTGTCTCCTCTTCTAAACTCTCAGCTTAGACCTATAAAAAGTTGCTACATTCTGTTCTTCCAGCTGGGCAAGTTGCTAACAAGAAAATAACTCAATTCTAGGCCTGCCTTTGTAAGCTGCTTGCAAGCAGATTACTGCTCACCTAGAGGAATCAAAATGTTGTAATTTGGGGATGAAATCTAATCTGCTTTTAATTATCAAAATAAACCTTGCTTAGCTGCTCAAAAGTTGCCATAATTCCCTCCTACTGAGGGACAAGGAAAAATGATTTTTTTTTCTTCTGTCTGCCCAAGGAAAAGCGTGTGGTGCTGAACTCAGGGGGACACCAGCACCTGGTGAGCTGCTTGGAGACGCTGCAGAAGGCCCTGAAAGGTTGGTGTGTTCTCTGTATGCTCTCCACAGGGTGGAAAATCCTCTGGAAGTGCTCCACAAAAACCACACAGGGTGTTGCTGCTGCGTTTCACAGTGTTCCTGGTGCTCAGGGGTTCTTCAGCACACTGCCAGGCAGGACAGTCAGGTGCTGCTTTTATTGGGAAAATTCTCTTTTTATCCAGAGAAGCTGTGGCTGCCCCATCCTTGGAAGTGTCCAAGGCCAGGTTGAGGGCTTGGAGCAATTTGGGATAGTAGAAGGTGTCCTGCTCATAACAGGGGTGGGACTTTAAGGTCCCTCCCAACCAAAACCATTCCATGATTCTGTGAGTGCCCATACCTGGGTTCTACTTGCAGAAGAAATTCCATTCTCTCCTTGCAGTTGGGGAATATTTTGGGGTTTTTTTCTGTGCAGACCTCGTGTCTAAATTTGGGGACAAATCCTGTGTAGTCGCACATGGGACAGTGTGAGCAGACATGGGAGGGAGTAACCACCTGAGATTTGGTTTATTGCTGGTGCCTCATTCCTTAGGGAATTCCCCTGAATTTTGGTTTTTGTCCCCTCCATCCAGTGTCGTCTCTGCCTGCCATGACCGATCGCTTGGAGTCCATCGCCAGGCAGAGCGGGTGAGTCTCTCTGCTCCCCTGACTCCTGGCAAACACTTCTGCTGCTCCCCTGCCCACACCAGA